AATTTCTGGAGGTCTCCATAAGTCAGAAGCAACCTGATGGAGCAAAATGACAAGACTCTGCAATTTTTGATTATGTTCTGGGCGGGGTGGCCGAAGAAGGGCTTCCCAGTGGTCTTCTATCTGGGCAGAGCCCAAGTATGGGTGGGGTACATTTTACTTCCAATCTGGGTGAGTGGATGGGTTGAAACCTAGGCACCCACGAGAAGAAATGGGATTGTGTTTATGAAAACCCGTTTCTGCCTGTTTGTTTGTTTGTTTAATTTATATACTGCCCCACTAGTGTCGGAGCCTTATTCCGGGCAGTTTATAAGCAGTTAAAATCAACTCAACAAAATGCTAAATTGCAAATGATAATAAAAAATAACCTAGAAACTTAAATAATCCATGGTGCCGAACCAATTTTCAAACTGCAATGGAACAGGAAGCAAGGCTACCTATTGTCCAAATCTTTGCAGATATGCTGGAGCCAATCAGAAAGAGTGTTAGAGTAGAACAAGCAACATTCTGAATGCAATGTTTCCATGCCAGTTCCATTCAGTCTGGATTAAGATTGTTCGAATGTTCAGCCTGATGTCCAGATACTGCCCCTGCCCCAGGTTTCATCCCAGAATGACAGGGCAAGGGCATCTGGATGTAGGCAAATATGGAACTACGAAATTACTCCTATACCTTCAAAGCTTGGTAAGAATCCAGATGTCTATTTTCAAGAGTTTAGGTCTCTGAAAATGACACTGAACCATGGATTATTGGCCCAGACCTTTCCTAGAACAGAGACAGGGGCTGAACTCTTGTTTCTCAGTGTAGTAAATTGTGCTAGGGCAATCTGCCAAGATTGCCAGTTTTATGGGGAACAAAACTTGAAATGTTTAACTGTGTTGAAATGTTTAAAGGGGATATACAAAGTACAGCCCTAGAAATGTGGTTATAACATGAAGTCTTGAACAGTAATGAACTGCTGGGTAGCTCAGCGGTTGCGATCTCTGGCTGTGGTGCCAGAGGCTGGGAGTTCAATTCCCCACTGTGCCTTCTTGGCAGGAGCCAGACTTGATGATCCATAGAGACCCTTGCAGTTCTAAGAGAATGATGATAATGATAATGATGATTACTACTACTTCAGGACAAAGAGATTTAATCTTGAAAATGAGAAAAAGAAAGAAAGAAAGAAACCCATTGTTTGCTCCCTTCCCCCTTAGGGAATCTTAGTTGGACAGCACTCTATGGTTCTTCCTATCCCCGCTCCCCCAGAGGCTTAGTCCATTTCTCCAGAGAATCTTCCAGCCAACAAGCCCCAGCTAACTCTTCTTGGGTGTCATCCCACTTGCCTTTCTTAGGCTGCTCTTCCTGCCCAAAGTTCACTGATCTTCTCACTTCCATCTGGGTTAGGCCTTTTGCTCTGGTCTCACTTCATCCTTTATCTGGTGAGAACTTCCTGAACTGTCACTGGAAGCTAAACATTACTAAAATGAGGTTATCATACCTTTGATATATCATGAGAAGACAAGAATCAGAGGAAATAATATTAATGAATATTAAGTAAAAAATTGGTGGTGGGAGAAGAGGAAGACCTGTATTAGATAGGTTGATTTGGTGAAGGAAACCTAAGCCTTTAACTTGTGAGCAAGACTATTAACAATGCAACCTTTTTGAGGTCATAAGTTGGAAGCCACTTGACAGCACATGACAGGAAAGGTCCACAGGAGTTTCTCGAATATATGTAAAATGTTGGTCTTAGATAGGCTCCATGGGTCAAATATAATCAGGGTAAAACATGGGAATGAGTGATGGCACTTACATTTGCTGTTCTTTCTCAGTGCCTCCAGAAGAGAACAGATCCATATGTGCATGCTCATAACTTCCTGATGCAGTAGATCAGAGTATAGCTGGTGCAGGGAGCACTAGACTGGCATGCTAGCTAGGCCCTTTAAATAAATACCAAGTGGTTGTGGAGGGTAAAGGCAAGGTATGAATGGAAAGGAGATGGAGTGACATGCCATGTTGCTGAGGAAGCCATCCATCTCTATGTCAGAATGTTATTAAGAAACCAGGAGCAGGACCATTAAGAAGGCATCCAGTAAGAGAGTCACCTAGGAATAGAAGCACATTAAAAATGAGTCTAGCCCAGATCAAGAAAGACATGGTGAAAACGTTCTTCCTTTTTTTTTTCTTTTCCCCCCCTAAGAATTACAAGTTCTTCCAGCTTTGCACTAATGGAAATACACCTGGCACTTTTCTGAAAACATTCATTAAATGGACCATATTTTTAATTAATCAGAAGGGATGCTGAGGGCCAACCCTCTTATTGAAGTGGGTATGATCAGCCTGGAGAAAAAAATGACAAAGCGTGTTACGGTGGCTATCATCTTATAGCTGAAGGATTGTCACACAGATCATGTAAATTTGGGTTGTGTTGCCCCAGAGTGTGAGAAGTGAACCAATAAGTTCTAATTATGAGAGAAGGGGATTTCAGCCAAACATTAGGAAGACTTGGTAGTATGAGCTTTTTGATGGTGCATTGGTAACCATTTGTAAATATTTTTTTAAAACGTTTGTAAACCATTTGGGCCACACAGCCACAGAAAACAGCCCAAATCCTGTTCATGTAAAATTATATAGCAAAAGCGGATGATGATATTAGCTGATAGTTGTAACACTTAATTTTAACTAATTAAAAGCTTCGCAACCACTCACCCATTCTAGCAGGGATGGAGACTCAAGTCTTGAAACTCGTCAAGTCGGACTTAAAGTGCACTGTTGACTCATTTTTTTTTCAATGACTCGGACTCAACTTGCAACTTGGAACTCATCTGCCCCTTTTTTCTGGGTTAAAAAAAAAACTTATTTTTTTTAATAAGGACTCAAACTTGGGGCTTAGGACTTGAGACTTGGTACCAAAGACTTGGACTCAGACCCGAAGACTTTTCAGCCCTACATTATAGGATCTAAGGCTCCCTTTTGCCCTGAGGAGGACTTTGGGGCCTTGAGATGGGAGAAAAGTGCCTTTAAAAGTTAAAAAAAAATCCACCTTCCAAGGCTCCCGAAGTCTTCCCCAAGACAAAAAGGAGTTCCGGGTAGCCTCTGAACCTAAAACAGGGGGTAGGTGGGAATCATTTAAATAGTTTAAAGTAAATGTTTCTGACCCCATCTTTTGCCATGTAACTTTATGTGCACAGGATTTTGCCCACTGAAAACGGGAGCCTTGGACCTTTGCTACTCTGCAGGCAAATACCCCAGTCCACTGTGGTATAGTTCAACCCCATGCAAAACGAATAGATGCAGCACTACTTGTTTTGCAAGTAATGAAAGGTGCAGAATCATTATTGGATGCCTAAAGCCAAACCCTGTTGATAAAATCAATTACCTAGCTGGCGTGGCACCCAGTGTCACAGGGAGAGAGGTGGCAGCTAATATGGAAAGACTCAAAACATCTGCATCAAATGCACATTTACCCTTTGGCTACCATCCCGTCCTTCTCAGATTACGAACAAGGAAAAGCTTTTTCAGAACGTCTATGACTTTTAAAGGAACAGCAGAGAATGCCAGGACTATGACGTGGGAAGAAAGAACTGCCCACCTCTTATAATTCATGGAACATCAGGGAAGTCTAGCCCCTGGCCACACAAGGAACTTGGTTACTTGGAAGTCACATAATAAGTTACAGACTGGAGCTCGCAGAGCTAAAGTGAACCAAAGCACACAGCTTTTGTGCTGACACAGTCCTTTGTGGGTGAGGGGAGAATGGGCAACTTCACACCTATGTCAGGGTACTTTATGTCCCTCAATGTGTATCATGGAAGACTTCATGCCTAGGGCCCCAAAGTTCTTGAAGTTGCCCGTTCTTGGGTGAAAATTATCTGATATATTTTCTAGTTGGACTGGGGTTTTTCCAACATGAACAAAGAAGAAGCAACACTGTTATTACATACAGAGAGAGCCGCTTCCTCATACAGCCCTCCCAGGGATTGTTACATACAATCCGCATCAGGACAGGATCTTCCCACAGCTTCAAAGGGTGGAGATCTTTGCCAACTGGAGGATTGAAATTTTTGGCCAAGGTGTATTCATACCTACGGTCTTATTAATAATCTGCAGGGTGTAAGCAGCTGTTTCAGTAGTGATTAACTTTAAGCACATTGCTTGGGATTGTAATGTGAGCATATAACTGGAGGCTCTCACTCACTGGTTTTGATTTCCCCAGGGTTGTCTGACCAGCCTGGACATCTTTGCATGTTTCATCCAAAGACTCCAGGCGTCCGTGCTAGTTTTCCACAGAGCAAACATAAAGCTTAAAAACAACTAGTAACAAATATTATTTGTAGCTAATTTATTTTCCCAGTAACAACAACAATCTAAGAACTGCAGAGCTGGAAGGGACCCTATCGATAATCAAATCCAGTCTTTCCCAGGGAGGCACAGTGGGGAATTGAACTCCCCACCTCTGGCTTCATAGCCAGATACCTAAGCCACTGAACTGTCCAGCAGTTCAGGCGGATCGCTCAATGGTTTGGTGGGGCGTTTGATTCCCCACTGTGCCTCCTTGACAGGGACTGGACTCAATGACCCATATTCTGTTGTGGGTGCTGGGTTGAAAAGGAAGTGCCTTTTGCAGCACTGGCTAATACCTTGCAGCAGTGACATTTTTAAAAGTAACTAAAGGGAACTTCATTACTGTAGTTACTTTTAAGAAATAGGAAAGTAAGATGTTGATATTTTTAAAAATGCCACTTTGATGTTAACTAGCTACTTTTTGTATTGGAAGGATAACTGTAACACATTTTAAAGCTCTGGGCAAAACTTAATCTGGACAGGTAATGCCCCATATATATTGAGCAGCCCTTACTTTGCATTTAGAGGACCATATATGCATTATTATAGCTCCCTGCGAGTACCCCTAACACTTGATGGTGTTGCATGCCTTATCTTCTATCCATTCATAGATTCACATTTTTTTCTGTGATTCACTACTAATCCACAGATTTTCACTCTTTCACCATTAATTTCAGCTTTGTATGGTCCTCCTGATTCCTGTCAAGGGCGATGTAATGAGAAATACAACCGAAAGGATGTTTGTCATTGCAATGATAAATGTGAAATATATCAGAACTGCTGTGAAGACTACCACATCTACTGTGGACAGGGTGAGTGAAAATGTGAGTGTGCAAGTGCGCATCTGCACATGTTTGTGTGTGCATGCACATGGGCACCCTTGTGTGCACATGTGTACATAATAGTCTTGAACTAGGAACATTCACTTGATTCAAACAAATTTTGAATTCCATGGAAAATTAACATGATTTGGGCCAATTTGTGTAAGGTTCAGACTGAATTGGAACGGCTAGATTCAGTTCAAAGGCAAAGCCGGATTTACAGATTGATTAAAATCTGAAGCAGAAAACATTATGGGTGTGGCAGTCTTGCTAAGCACCTGCATCTTATCATTTGGAAAGTTTACCTACAAAAATAGAATGACAGTATACTTAGCAAGTATTTCCACAGAAATGAAGAGGATAATTTTGTACCACCATGGGACTAAACTATTCTTACTTGATTCAAGGGTTTGGGGACCCATGAATCAAGCAGACAGGGTTCTTTTTGTGATCACAGACAGAGCTCTTTTGAAGAGATGGACTCTACTCAAACACAGATGTTCCTTTCATACACCTAAAGAATCTTAGGATAGTATGGTCTCCTTCTGTGTATGCTGGTAACAGTAATTTTGCATGTAAGGGGTAGTGCATCCTCTCCGTGTTTTAGTCCAATGTCCAAACTTCACAGGAGCTATCCAAGGTTCTGAACCTTATACCCAAAATTAGAGTTTCCACATTCCATTGGTCACCATGAAATAATTCCCACCTTTTCTTGTAGGTAATACAGATGAAAAAGAAAACAACACAGTGCACAATGGTGAGTACTTGTAATTATTTTTATGTGAGGTATGGAAGAAATTCAACTCTAAAGTGTAGCTTTTGGAAGAAAATGCATTCATATTCTTATTTTTTAAAAGCAAATCTCAGAGAGTACAAAAAGGAACAGAAAGAATTCAGTAGTGATCACGTATGGCATTGAGATATGCCAAAACCAGACCAACGTATTTCTAGTGTATATGATAGTTCAATGAAGCCTTTCTCAGTTTGTTTGGTTACTCTTGAAGAATGGTTTTTGCTAGGACTGTGCTTGAATCCCTTGATCTCCTTTTGTAGCTTATTCAGGGCTTTGGGATGAATTCTGATTTAGTTCAGAGTGATTTTTGCCCCACTTAGTTAATTTATGTCTCGAATCAAAATGAATCTGGAAGCATCCCATTGACTTGTGTTGAAAAACCAAAATAGATGGAGGGAGGGAGGAAAGGAAGTGATTTGTACCCAGTGTGATTTAATTTGATTCACCCACCAACTATATACATTCTACGTCAGCGTAGAATAGATAGCTAGATAGCTGGCTTAGGCGTCTGGCTGCAGAGGCAGAAGCTGAGAGTTTCATCCCCCAATGTGACTCCTGGGCAAAGAGCCAGCCTGGGTAGCCTTGGGCAAGCTGTACAGTCCTGGAGCATCCCCAGGAGAAGGGAATGGGAAACCATTTCTGAGTACTCTCAACCTAGAAAACCCTTAAAAAGGGTCACCATAGTAAGTCAGAATTGACTTGATAGCATGATGTTGATGATTATACCTATCACAGAAATTGGTATGAGTCAGGCCAATTCAGCTAGTAATATGGGATTTGTTCAAACCTGTTGCACAGCCTTACTTTCTCCTACTTTGGCCCACCCTGGTCACAGGATGACTTAGATAGAATGCTGTCTGTCACACGCATCTTACAGACCAATTCTATCATGTCTTTCTGCTAAAACAATTTCTCCCTTTGCAGGGGGATTCTCCACCAGCGATGATGCCATCACAGATGAAGAATTGGTACAAGCATCTGAACAGCTTTACCAACATGACCGCAACAGAGCACAAGAGTCTGACATCATTCTTAACAAGCAGCAATTGGCTTCAAATACTAAGGACCACGAGGATCAGTCGCCCAAACCGTATGTAGTGGATCTCGTGTACAATTAAATGTTTGCTTTAGGAAAGATAAGTAGTGAAGCAGACAATGGGAAATCTATTTAACATTCAGGTTCTTAAATTTATATGTGGAAATGCTTATTAAAATGTGCACGTGGGTATTAAAAAAACAGAAGATTTCAGTTAATTAACTGCAGAGGAATATTTGATTCACAATTTTATTTATTAATTTATTTATTTACTGCCCCTCTGGCTAGCAAGACCTCTCTGGCCAGTTCAAATGATGATTTTATCCTCATTTAAGCCTTTTCTTAGGGGGCAAAGTCTGAGTTGCATCCCAAATTAAAGATTTTTAAACATGAACTGCCAGACTTCCTGTTTTCTTAAATGCCAGTGACTAAACACTGACAAAATACTGACCTGTGCACATGTAATAAATATTGTGTGCTGAAACAAAGCTGGAGATTTTCTAGCAAATTAACTTAGTCAGATGAATTATATTAAGGTTTACATAATAATTAATTAAAGTGACAGTGCTAAGCGCCCCCTCCATACAGTACCTTTCTTTACAGTTGCAATTTTTAAAAAACAGCTCTGCTTTTTCACAAAAACAACTAAAACAGTCGATTTTCGTGTTACTTTGGAGGGGGGGAACCCATATAGAATGATATCACTGTTTATGGTGCAACACACATTTAGAGCCATGTATACCTCATGTAATTGTAAACATAACTAAAACCAGTGACATTGCAAAAGTAGTGATATTATTCTTCTTTATAGTAGAAGTATAATGTGACTTATTTATACATTTAAATAAAAAAGGGGGGGGGAAGGTGGTGCAATCCTTGCAAAAATCCAAAAACCAGGGTAGACAATGTCTTTACTGAATTACTAAAATATTTAAAACAAGTGAGCTTTCGAATTCAACAGGGCCCTGCTTTAATGGCCAGCCTGCTGGGCTCAAAGTCTCAACTGTTTTAAATGAGTTAGTTCTCTAAAATGGTATTGCTTTGTTTGTTAGTCAGAAAAAGGATAAATTACAGATATCTTGTTATTTGTACTTGACTAGAAACTTATTGATGTTTGTGTATGTTTTGCATAACCTATCACCACGAATTGTGGCTAATTAACAGATTGCTGGGTTGCATCTTGATTGCGCAATTTTGTGTTCATGACCAGGCACAATCCAATTAGCTCCAATTAGCCATAGCCAATGATGCAATCCTTATGTGAACATCATAAGGGTTCTGGTTGCTATTTCCAGGTACTATCCAATAAACTTATGTGAACATCATAAGGGTTCTGGTTGTTATTTCCAGGTACTGTACTATCCAATAAAGGTGTGTATGGGGGGGGGGATCTGTATTTGGTGCTCCCTGTCAAAACCTGGAAAAGTGGCTTCTTTGAATTACAACTCTCACTAGTGATTCTGAATAAGGGATTATTGGAATTACAGTCCATAATAGGAACTCTTCTCACCTCTGCTGGTAGCTGAGGTGTACAACACGTGTTGCTATAAATCAAATCCTTTACTGATCAGTCTCTGAGTTAAAGTGGATCTTGAAAACAAATGCATGGAATTTCCAATCAGTCAGAATCCCCTGTGATTCGGCAGCAGTTAGAAGTGTGAGTTGGGTCTTCCCCTGAGCTCAGTGTCAGGCAAAAATCTCATATATTATATACTGTAGCTATCTCTCACAGGCACTTAGAGGTCCCTGGAGCCAGTCTGTGGTGTGTTCTAGAGTCAGCCCAGGTACCTCCTGGTCAGTTGTGCGAGCCACAGGGTAGGCTGCTGATAACAGATAAGATGACCTGATTTAACTGTTTGGAGGTCCCTGGAGCCAGTCTGTGGTGTGTTTTAGAGCCAGCCCAGGTACCTCCTGGTCAGTTGTGCAAGCCACAAGGTAGGCTGCTGATAATAGATAAGATGATCTGATTTAACTGATTTAACTGTTTGGGCAGTTAGGGCCGTGGTTGTGTTAGAGAGAAGAGTAACAGAGAGATAGAGAAAGAGATAGGAATAGGACAAGTCTTGGAAAGTTTATGTGGTTAAGACTGGAAAGAGTTAAAAGTGCTAAGAAATAAATAAAGAGTTGAATATATAATTACCTTGATTAAAGTGAATCAAACATAAATGTAATCAAAGCAACATTTATTGAATGAATATTAAAGGAAATGTAATCAAAGCAACATTTATTGAATGACTATTAAAAGACCATCCATAATTTTCTTTATATGATATCCTACAAACCCATAAACAAACATTGTTATATTGGACAACACTGATCTAATAGTCATATTTGGTACCGAGAGGAACATATCCTCTGGTGGCAGCGAAAAAGGGTGAAAAGTACATGCCTGAAAGGGAATAACATATCCTCTGGTGGCAGCGAAAAAGGGTGATAAGTACATGCCTGAAAGGGAACCTGGTTGTGTAGAAAACCAAGCAGGTGAACTGGGGTGTGTGGCTTATTCACAGTTGAGTGTGGGATGCATCCAGCAGTGGTAGGAAAGCATGGGCAGCCTGTGGAGAGCAAGGTCACCTTTAAAGATAGTGAATTGTTTTCATTTTATTTTATTGTGCAGATTGTTCCAATATGTCAATGAGGAGAAGCTCTTCTCTCAGCCAACATATGCAAGTTTCATTAAGCTGCTGGACAATTACCACAAAAGGGTTGGGACGGGTGAAGAATTCACCAAGGATCAACTGAAGGAGCAGGATACTTTCCTCAAGGAGATAATGAAGACAGAGATCATGAAGGAGCTATACAGATTCCTTCACAGCAAGAGTGAGTTGTCTAGCCCTCAATATGAAGGCCCATGCCATTTTATGTACATATGTGGAAAGCAAATCCCACTGTTTCATTCCTTGCTAAAGAAGAAATATAAATGATAAAAATGGTGCTGTCACAACTGGTTCAGTGTGAAGAAAGAGGGATCAACACAAGTTTCATTCCCCTCCCCTTACTTTTTGTAACAACAAATCCAGAGCTTGGAAAAGTTACTTTTTGGGAACTTCAGGAGCCAGAAATATTATTTAAACAGCCTTGTCATTTCCAAGCTCTGATGGAATCGTTGGGTTACCTTGAGTAGATAGCGGGCCATCGCTTAAGGAAAAACCAAAGGAAACTCTTTATATAAACCCATCTCTTACGAATGTTTGTGGTAAGATGTGGTGGTGGCCAAGCATCTTGAAAAGGGTGGGATGTTAGCCCTCCCAATGTTTAATAATAATTCCCTCCAGCTCCATTGTGGTTCTGGGTGTGGCAGCCACTGGTGGGACCTAGGTCAGGTGACTAGCTGTGGTTGTGACCAGGTTGGATGTCACAATTGGGAGGCCTGGCAACCACCAGTTACCTAAGAGCTGCCAGCTGAAAGGCAGGGGCATGAGGAGTAGATGGGACAGAAGATCTTGCAGTGGCCAGAGCAGGAAAAGGAGCAAATGGGAGAAGGAAAGGTGGTAAGCGGGCATGCAGCTAATTCAGACCTTGGTGCAGTTGATACACCATCTTCTCTAGGCACAAGGAGGTGCCACCCAGATGGGAGGGTACAAGTCGTTCCTTCTACCCTGCCAGTGAGAGAGAGAGCTTAATATTGGGGAAGTAGACTCCATAAAGGCACAGAGAAAGGGGAAGTCAGAGCTTTGCAGCTGCTGGTACAGCCAGCCAGCACTACCTAGTAGAACCCCCATGATGAGGAATTATGGGAGTCGAAGTCCAGTGATATCTAATGTGTCACACATTATTTATTTATTATTATTTATTTCTTACATTTATATACCACCCCATTAGTGTTTAACAACACAATGACAAAACATATAGAAGTTATTTATTTATTTCATTTATATACCACCCTATTGGTGTTTAATGATGACAAAACATATAGAATAGAAATGAACATTAAAATCAAGTCATGAATCAAATAAAAACAAATACCACTGATCATAAAAGAGACATATATTCTTTAAATGCAGGAACAGGACAGGAGGTGTAAGATCAGGTTGCGTTGCACAGAAAGGTGTTCAGAAGCCTTTTGAAGGTTAGGAGAGAAGGGGCCAGGCACGCCCCTACTGGCTGCTGGTTCCAAACTGTGGGTGCCACCGCGAAGAAGGCTCCGCCCCATTGTGGCTGATTTCCTGACCTGCCTCAGAGTGGCCACCCAGGGGAGCAACACCTGGGAGGATTTGGTAGGGCGGGTATCCTTGGGGGAAAGACACTGTGATATTCTCTCTTCTGCAGAGAATATCAGTCCCGTCATCACCGCGTGTTATTCAGAGATACCCTATGGGAATGTGGGAATCTACCACATAGCAGCAGCTTCCATGTTCATGAGAACCTTGTGTGAAGGTGGCCGGTCATTCCCTGTTCTCAAAGGATCCTAGGAATGGTGGTTTTAAAAGAAGTGAAGAAACCTCTAAGAGAAAAACTCCCTCAAAATGATGATTTCCAAGCTTTTTTTTTTGAGGAAAGTGCAGAACAGTGGCCAGTTTTGCACATTTCCAATACACTTCCTTACACACCACATCTACACAGTTGTCATCCCTTGTTTCATGATACTCTGATATATAAGGCCCTAAAGAAAAAAATACAGGAGCTCTCTGTGATGTCTCATTTCTGTTCTTTCTGGCAAGGGATTACTTATTTCTCTTCACTCCTCCATTACCAGATCGTTATGATACGGAGGCGGAGTTTGTTGCTGACCTGAAGGAGATGTGGTTTGGCCTTTACTCCAGGAGCAAGGATGACAGCGACTCCAGTGGCTTTGAGCATGTCTTCACAGGTACCTTTATAAAAGCAGGCAAATAAGCTAATGCTGCTTTCCCCTCCTAGTTTGCCACTCAAGAAACAGTACTTGGGTTCTATTATGCATTTGGATCTGAGATGAGCTTTGGCTCTATTCATCAATGGGTAGCTTAATGCAATGCTTCTGCATGAAGAGTTTTAATCATTATTGACTGGACATTATTTCTTCACCAATTGATTCCTGAGAAACTAGATGACATCCATCCCAAAAAGTTTCACACCACTGTGAGCCATAGGGGGAAAAACATATGTTGATGGGACAATGGTGGGAAAGCAAAGAACAGACACTGGGTGTGGACAGCTGATGTTATGTGTAATCACGCATGCATGCACCAGATCAATTGCCTTGTGAGATAACAATCTGAGATAACAAGCTCACACCTGGATTTACGTTTGCAATGGAAAATTTTAAAACCCTGCAATAACTCTACAGTAAAGAGAATTTCAGGGGATCTACAGTATCTCCCTCTTTCCACTGGTGGCCTTCCTACAATACATATATCGGAGATTATATGATTTACTGTATATACATCTATAATAGACACATTCATCACTATTTAGGTGAAGTTAAAAAAGGAAAAGTATCTGGATTCCATAATTGGATTCGTTTCTATCTTCTGGAGAAGAAAGGCATCATTAACTACCTCAGCTACAACTATGATGGACCAGTGAGTATAAATCAGGTCATCTTAGAGGGTATTGTTATGTTTACAAAAAAAAACTGTTAAAAAGACTTGCCAGACAGATTAAATAAGATCTACCAACTTCTGAAGAAGCTGCTAAATTGCTTAGCCCAAGGTTGTGCTATTCCTATCAGGAGAACACAGAAGAGGAGAAAAATCTGAAATATAAGAATACAAACATTAGCATTAAAAATATAACAATAAAATAATAATTAAAACAATGTTAAATATGAAGCTGGCTGGGTAGCTCAGAGGTTTAGGTATCTGGCTGCAGAGCCAAAGGTAGGGAGTTTGATTATCCAGTGTGCCTTCTGGGAGAACAGCCAGCCTGTGTGGCCTTGGGCAAGTTGCACAGATCGAGTACATCCTTAGAAGAAGGAAAACCATAAACTGGAATCTACTTGATGGTACACAACAATAACAACAACAACAACAACAACAACAACAACAACAGTAGTAATAGTAATATTGTAGTAATAGTAATAGTAGTAATAGTAGTAATAATAATAAAATTATTATTATTATTAAATATGAAAGTAGCTGCTTTCCATTGGGAGAAAGGGAAGACAGAATATAAAAATAGAATAATAAATAAATTTATAAATTAGAAAATGGATAGAGGGAGGGAGGGGTCTTCTATAAGACCAACCTGGTGGTCTTTGAATAGTGTGGAAGGATTCTCCAGACGTTTTCTTAAGTCTAGAAGGTAAAGAAGTCAATGGAGCAGAGTCAGGAGTCTGGTGTTAAAGCCACAGATTCTGTGTGAAATCAGTGCCCTTCAGATGGAGTGGAGAGGAGTTTGCAGACATTAGGAAACATGCCACCAAAGAAATGATCCTGTTCCATATATTGAAAACATTACCTTGCCATCATAAGTTAGCTGGGAGCAGGCTCAGGGAATGTGAGGTCCTATTTGTCATTTGAGGAGACTCTTCTTCTTTTCTCACAGAAGAATCACAGCAGCATCATGGGAACTCATATGATCAGGGTGGGAACTAGATCAATGATCCACAACAGCTATTGATGGCCAAACTAGTGCTTCCCAACCTCAGGTAACTCAGGTGTTCTTGGACTGCAACTCCCAGAAGCCTTCACCACCAACTGTGCTGGCTGAGGTTTCTGGGAGTTGCAGTCCAAGAACACTTGGGTTACCAGTTGGGAACCACTGGACTAGATGATGCTGGGACCATCTGCTCCCCCAAGCAAAGAGTGAGAAACTGGGAGGAAGATCTAAATCATGAGGAAATTCCCTCCCATCTCTGAGTGATGAAGGATGTTGGGTATTCCCTTCACACCAGCCTTGAAGGGTGGGGCTTGAGAGCGGGCAGGGAGATCATCTGGAGACCTCCATAGGCCAAATGAGAAACCTCTGTGGCCCCAATTAGGCTTAGAAGCTAAAGTTCCCCTATACTGGTGTAAAGTTTTTCTGTGCTTTTGAGACCCATCAGTGAATAGTATTCTTCTCGGCTTCATTTCTGGAAATATCTGAAATACAACCTTTTACATCTTTTCTGGAACTTCCCCTTTCCTCCCTCTTCAGTGGACATCATATCCAGATGTGCTGGGAATGCAATTCAACTGGGACGGGTTTTTCAAGGAAGTTGGGACATCGTTCATTGGAAGCAGTCCGGAATTTGAATTTGGCCTCTATTCGCTGTGTTTCATTGCTAGGCCTGGAAAAGTGTAAGTATAAAGCCAGAGGGAAAAGTTTTTTCACTGTACCTGAAAGCAAAGGATACCGTGCTGATTAGCAGTAGGCTGAAGGCCCACACGCAGTCTGAGAATCCATTTCTGAACTAAAGGGTAACTACTTTCCTCCCATATCATAGCCAAGTTCCACCCAGTCCTGACTTGGCAAATGTGTGGGCCTCCAGATGTTGCTGGAGTACAGCTATAAGCAAACCTAGTGAGGATAGTCAGCAGTGACAGATGATGGGGGTTATGGTCAAGAAACATTTGGAGGGCCATGCGTTCCCCATCCTCGACCTAGTCTAGCAACAACCAGCCAGATGTTTCTGGAGAAGTCCTTAGCCTTTGCATGAAATCAGCAATTCTCTTGCAGTTTTCACCCATATCATCTGATATATGGAGATATGCTGCCTCTGAGCATGGAGGCTCCATTTACGCTCGTGCTTCACAGCCATGGAGAGACCTATGCCTATCCTCTATTGACATTCTTTGAGAAATTCATGCAGTGTAATAACACTTATATTTCTTGCTGTGCAAAGTGATATAAAACAATGGAGTTTCCCTACACCTCTCAGAAAGAGTTGAAGAGCCAAAACTCCTTTGTCACTTCACTCCACTGATGGGCCAGTGGAAGGTACAGGTGGGACAGCTTGTGGACTGAGTGGTGGGGGACCTTTCCCCAAATTTTAGGGAGCACCCCCACCCTTTTGCAAGCGTTATATTGCAAGAGGTTAAATTTGTTGTGAGGATTTTGGAGAGAGCACAAAGGCAGGAAACTCAGGAGCATAAAGATGTTATTAAGAACAAATTACATGAGCTGGTGTTCTGTTTGCAGGTGCTAAACAATGTTGGTTTAAAGAATGTTCAGTTAAACCCACTTTTTCCGAGACGTTTCAAGCCATGATCTGGACCACTGATGGGAAACATTTCTCTTTGGCAGACCATAGGTTTCTGAATTTCACGACCAGCATGATAGAAGGCACATTGGCTTTGAGATTTTGAAAGCTGTAGTCCTAAAAGGAAAAAAAAAATCCCTTCCTTCATAATTCTTACAAATATTTGGTGTCTAAACTGGTGAAATGCAAGGGCTTATATTGCTATCTTGTGAACGATCAACAGGGCTTATCACTCTGGGGACCATTAAGAAATGAAACACCAAAATTTAACTGTTAATTAACGTTGGCTGAAATCCTGTTACTTAGGGTAGTAAGTGACAATTAAAGTAAGCCTCTTGAATCAGTGGAACTTATAAAGGAGTTCATTCACCAAATTCCTACTGATTCAATGAGCCTATTCTAGTTTTCACTCACTATGCTATTATTCATTTAAGCAGAATGCAATAAGAAAAGATCACACAAGGCCCCTTGAAGAAGCCTAAGATTCCCAGTTTGCAGTTCTAGAAAAGAGGGGAAAAGACACAGGTTTTCTGTTGGTTTGTTTACCCCCTCTTCCACTGTTTTGCATTACTACAGTAGGACCCTCCCTATATGTGGGATCAGCATCTGCTGATTCATTTATCCACTGCCTGAAGATACTAAATAGAGATGGGATACTCATATTCATCACCCGGGGGAAATGAATACAAATACTACCGCCACAAATGGTCACGGTCTTTGGACCCACCTCCCAGAATGGACTGGCCCACTTACCGCTAGAGGCATGGCGTATATGGCCATCGTTGTTCATGCCGCACCAATTGCCAGCCTAGCCTGGCCGGCCCTTCCCTGCCTCCCTGCACTGCTGACCACACAGCAGCTGAGCGGGGAGACTTATGATCCTGCCTCTTCGGTGGAGCGGTCAGCAATACAGGAGGTGGAGAAGTGCTGGCCGGGCTATTTCTGTGATTGGTGCGGTGCCAACCGTAACAGCTGTGAGTGCCGTACTGCGAGTGGTAAGTGGACCAGCTGGTTCTTGGGGGGGGGGTGATGTCTGAAGGGTCCAGACACCTATAGTGGCGATCTTCATATTCGCCTCCTCCAGGAGATGAATACAAATATCCCATATCTAATACTAAAATTGAAAATATTTAAGAGCTCCAAATATATTTGCCAGAAATGGCCACTAGAGAGAGTGAGAGACCATGCAACGTATCGCATGCAATACTTCCCTGTGTTCTGGCCTTTGCCAGGAGGACTTCGAAGTGATCCCCTCGCAGATACTGCGGTCCTACTGTACTTACGTCGATACTCTGTTTCAGCATTCATGAGGCCAGTGCCATACCCACTAATCTATTTTTAAGGAGGAAAACTGTGTTGGTGGCAACATGGCCACCCATTGGATGCAGTTTTCATTTTCCCAGCATGGAGCTATTCTAAACAATGTACCGCAGAACTAGGAAGTAGAATCCGTGCCCTCCAGATTTTTGGGACCCCAGATTCACACAGTTCCTTATGATTAGCCATGCAAGCTGGGCTTCTGGGAACTGAAATCCTAAACTTTGGAAGAGCCTTGTTTTTCCCCATGCTGCTGAATTAACAAGATCAATTGTCCCCATTTTTGGTTCTTCAGGTGTCGTCTGAAAATTGGAGGCTATGGTCTAGGGATCCAGACCTACACTTGGGATAAATCCACCTATGGCAATGGCAAAAAGTACATAGCAACAGCTTATGTGGTGTCCCCATGAGGCTGCAAGATCCCACGTATGGCAACACCCTCATGAATGAATCGATGCAACCCACACAGCAACAGTGCCTCTTTCTTCACCAACAGGTGCTGTGCAATACTGTAGCATCTCTGATCTTTCGATTCTGTATGAATGCAAATTGGCCCAGTTTCTGTGGAACATGCAGAATCTCTTGAAGCCTAAACCATCAGGAGGCTTGGGAGAGCTAGAAAGATTGTATATCCTTAACCTGAATAATTTCCTGCCATAGGTGACATGAAACATTGCCTAAATCCCAACTGAATTCTAGTAAAATGCCTGAGGAATATCAGTGGAAGAAAAAAAATTAAAAGAGAGAGAGAGAGAGAAACAAATAGGTAGCTCTGACTATTCCTAGATTGCAAGTGACTTTCATCTGAAGAAAAAATTGTCATTAAATGGAAGTTCCCACTAACAGACTAAGAAATTCAACAGGAAGCCAAAATCTCTTCAGCGAGATGAGCAAAATTTCTCTGGAAGGTTTTATAAACCTCTGTTCACAATTTGAGAAGGAATGGCTTTCCAGACCTGGAAGAAATAAAAAGACATGGAAGAAGAGTCTCGGATTTCAGCACAGCCGTGACACATGTACTGAAGCGACCAAGCGCTATACTTGATTCTCTTCCTGGGTACTCCTTGGTACCATTTGGTTTGGGGAAGGCCCATTCAGATGTACCTGCCAAGTCCCACCATGTAGACATCTCTGAAATTCTTGAGCTGCTGAAAGATAATGTGGTTAAATCTGTGCCTAAGGGAACATAGGTCCAAAATCAAGGTGAGCTGTGGACCAAGTGGCTGCTCATAGACCAAGCTGCCTCTTCCCAGATCTTCATCTATAAGACGGGAAAAAAATTATATCCTACCTCCATGGAGTGAATCCGAGTGAAAGAGAGGATGAAGAGTTCCAACTCCAGTCCTCTGAAGATGCCGGCCACAGAAACTGACGAAACATTAGGAAGAACATCCTTCAGAACACGACAGAGGGCCCGAAAAACCCACAATAACCAGAGGATGAAGAACTTGACCTAACAAAAAGGCAATACGCACAATTTTCAATAATGACATCATGCTTCCCTGTGCTATCAGTAAATACATCTCTGCTTGACAGCTCAGTCTGGACATTGTGATGTCTTTATTTAAACCAATCCATTACGCCTCTCAAAAGTGCTTTACCTTGCTAGGCAAATCCATATATTTATGTATGTCTGTAGATTACTGAAAGCATCAGAGTCGCAGTATTATTATATTAAAATATGTTTCCTTCCACCAAACACCTCTCTTTCAATCTCCGCTCTAAACTTGTAGAAAAATTCATATTAGAATGCAGTGGGGGAAAGATTATAGAGCCCGGAGTTGACTGATGCCAGAGGCTTTTCTGATTGTCCCCTAATTCTATGGACACAAACTTTCAGTCAGTTTTCTGACACCCATTTTCATTTTAATGCCAGAATATCCTAGGAAGCCATGAGTCCGCCTATGGCACTCTTTATGGGAGACTGCCTTGTATGGCAGGACTTCTTAAGCCACTCCAAGGGAGGCCAAGAAATCCTCTACTAGGAGTAGGGCTTTCTTTGCAGTAACTCCACTGTGATGGGACGAACTGCCGGTGGAACTGCGCCTGCCCCCCCCCCCTCTTAGGCAAAGATGGTTGAAAACGTTGCTTTACAGAAAAGCCTTTTTTCCCCCTGTTTTGTAACCGTGCATGACCTGTTCTGGCTGCTCTATATGGTTACATGCCTGTGCTGTTTTTTATTGGATATTTCTGCCACTGGATGTTTTGACTATTATTTTGTTGTTTTTAATTCACATTTACTGTTTCTGTTGATTGTAAACCGCCCAGGGTAGTGCTGTTGCACTAATGGAGCAGTATACTGAATGAATGAATGAATGAATGAATGAATGAATGAATGAATGAATGAATGAATGAATGAATGAATGAATGAATGAATGAATGAATGAATGAATGAATAAGCAAGCAAGCAAGCAAGCAAAAGCAAAGGATGAACTAGACATGTCAGGACCAGAAGCAGCCTGACTTCTAGGTTTTTCTGGTCCTTCTGCATGTGACAAAGAAGCAGTGGTATTCAATGTGATGCATCACTGACATTAAGTACAAACATTCACTCTTTTGATATTGGAAGAATATTCTATATCAGCATTACAGATCACCTGGACCTAGAACTATTCTCTTGGCATTCTAAATGACAGGTTGCAGCCACATGGATGTGCTCAGGGAATGCAATTCCCACCCATGGCATTTATCTGAATTGGTCCATGTCCCTGGGATTCTGCTTCTAGTAGTAGAAGACTCTGATATTCAATGGGCTGGGGACCGCAGAAATGTAGCACGTTGAGTGCCAGGTCTTTCCCTAACCTCATTTCATTGTCACAGTTACCACTCCTTGCCTCTTCTTTGGTCAAATCTTCTCTCCACTCTCCTGATGCCAGGGTTGGACACGTTTCTTTCCAAAACTCAGACTCCAAGAATCTTTCAGACAGCATGGCCAATGACCACACTGGCTGGAAGGCATGGATGTTCTGGGAATTACAATCTATAAAAGGAACTTTTTCATGCTTTGAAAGAAGTCATTGTCATTGGTGAACAGAGGAGAGTTGCTGGGTCTTGGGATAACAGCTAAAGCCTCCTCCCGTGTGTGTGCGTGTGTGCGTGTGCATGTGCGCACATGCTTTTCTGGGTCTTCAGGCAAGTCTCAGAGGGTGTGGAGTGGTGCTAAGAGAAGGAGACAATCTGATTTTTGTTGGTTAGAAAGCCTTAATGCCTGGGCACCAAGGCTCACTGGCTTAATGCAAAGTTCCTGCACACAATGGATGAAATCCTGCTGCACAACTCCACATGCACAATTGTCATGATGTGAGCAGCAGCACATCACCCCTGGTTGTGTGTGTATGTGTACGAGAGAGAGAGAGAGAGAGAGAATGAGAATGTTGAGAATCATTGTTGATGAATTTAAAGGCTCATGTACGAATTCCAGTCACGGCAAGGTACCAAGAAAGGTAAGAGTGCTTCTGAACATACCTAAGAGGATTAGCAGCACCCTGCCCTCTGTGACTTCAGGACCAAAGCCAGGGACCTGGAGAACGGATCCCATAACTTGAGTCTTGGGGCCATTGCCTGAGACCTGGCAGACTCATATGCGCTTCACCACACCTGAGGATAACGGGCTCGTGCAGTGGGTGCCAGATGGGGAATATGGTGCAGGCAGCTGGGTCCTCTGACAGAGGGGAATAGTCAGGAGGCTACCGCTGTGGTCACCCAGCATCTGCTGTCTCCCGCCCTGCCCGATGGAGTTGCCAGCCCTGAAGATGAGCCCACAACATCATTTGGAGATGGTCAAGGTGGCCAACTCGTTTCGCAGCCCCAAGGATCGCCTGCCTTTCCCTCGTGCCTCTCTTCCGCCTTCCATGCCTGCTCCGTCCAGCGTGAGAGAGAGAGGAGCAACAGCAGCCACATCAGCAGCCTCCGGTCCCAGGGCGAAGAGACGCAGCTTGAACAGAGGCCTGGCGAACCGCTGAGCTTCCCGCCGGAGCCGCTGGGAGCAGCCTGACAGATGGCTCAGCAGCAGCGAGAGTTCCTCAGCAGAGAGGCGGGCCTGCCTCCACCATCTGCCGGGGGTCACAGGTGACACCCAAACATTGACGGGGGGGGGGGGGGGCTGAAGAGACAAAAGTCACACAGATACCAAAAAAAAAGAAGAGAGAGAGAGAGAGAGAGAGAGAGGAAATGCCCGGGCTTGATTTATAGAAATGCATTTGCTTACTGAAGCCTATGCTTGGCTCCACAGGGCCTCAAAAAGACAGAGATTGTTTATTCTACGTGACTCTCCAGCCACGTTACAGCTGTGGCCTGCACTGACTTCCCTAGCGGAAGGGAAAGAGGAGGACCACAGACACACACCCCCCCATGGCACATTCGCTGGCAGGAATGCCTGCGTTGGAGAGCCGGCCAAGTGGGACCGAGCTTCCCACGCGCAGCAGAGTTCACCAGTGTTTGGACTCGGTCCCACGGCTGTTTGCCTTGCGGGATTTGGCCTCTGTTATATTGCTCTCTCTCAGCGGCATCTCTCTCTCTGTGTGTGCAAAGTTGGGGGGGTCCCAGCCCCAAGCAAACATAATTTGGCGGCTCATTTGAGGTGCTCCTCGGGTATCTTCTAGAAGCTTTCTCGGTGGACTTGAATGAACCTCAAAGCTAACATTCATTTAACGACAATGACGGCATAATTGAGAGTTGTTTGCAGAAGGATTTTCAGCCTCTCTGATTCCAGATCCAAACACATCCTTCACTCTTTTAGGAAACCTAGAGAGTTTTCTCCTTGAATCAGGGGATTTGCAATATAGTTCACACATCAGTGAATGGTATATTCCTCACATCTGCTGAATACACAGGATATAATTAAAGATTAAGGAGTTTTATTTGCAACTAACAAATGTACCCATCTCATGCCAGGCTAAAACCAGTTAATTCTCCTCCACAATTCCCTGTCTGTCTCTTCCCCCAGCCTAATGTTTTTCCTATAAAAGTCTTTCATCTCTCTCCAGTCCAATACTCACTCATTGCAGTATCCATCCCAGTATTCACTGCCATTTATGCAGGAACGGAGCTGCCTGTTTAAAAGTTTGAGGTTATTGATTTCATAATTACATTTGCTGCCACTGTCTGTCATCTAATAATTTCCGATGCATGGCAATCCTATAAATTAACAACCTCCTAATCTGCTGAGAGTTTGGTTATTGATTTCATAATTACATTTGCTGCTACTATTTGTCATCTAATAATTTCTGATGCATGGCAATCCTATAAATTTACAACCCCCTAATCTGCTGAGAGTTTTACAAGTCTGTGGCTTCCTTTACTGAGTCAATCCATCTCATTTGAAGTCTTCCTCTGTTCCTACTACCCCCTTTTTAAGGATTATCATCTTTTCCAGTAAGTAATCTTTTTACAGTACAGCCTAAGTACGATAGTCTCAGTTATTGTCATTTTAGCTTCTAATAAGAATTCAGATTTGATTTGCTCTAACAATAATCATTGTGTGACACCAAGTCAATTCTGACTTATTGAGACTTTTTCCAGAGTTTTTTAGGTAGAGGACCAAGTCAATTCTGACTTATTGAGACTTTCCAGAGTTTTGTAGGTAGAGGGTACATGAAAGTGGTTTACCATTCCCCTCTTCTGGGGGTTGCCTCAGACTGTGAAGCTTTCCCAAGGCTACATAGGCTGCCTTTTCTTCCAGGAAGCATCCAGTTCTCAACCTCTAGCTCCACAGCCAGATAATTAACTCCCAGAGCTGTCAGGCTAGTTCTAGAAACCTCGTTGTCTTTTTTGGTGGTCCATGAAATTCTCTTCCAACACTACATTTCAGACGAATTACTCTGTTTTCCATCAGATGTCTTCTGCTTCTGTTAGGTCCCTTCCCACCTATACATAGTAAATTGGAATATCATGGTATATAGTATTTTGGATTGCTTTCTTCATTGTCTAGTTTTCCCACCTATAGATAGTAAATGGGAATATCATGGCATATAGTATCTTGGCCTTAGTCTCCAGCAATGCATCCTTACGTGTATGAATCATTTTAGTTCCTTCATAGCCATCATTCCAAGACTCAGGCTTCTGATTTCTTGTTGGCAGACTCCATTTGGACAAGTGATTGAAACAAGGTATAAATCTTCCCAAAAAAGATTGCATGCCCTAGCCCTGTGCCGGAAAGATACGGGCCAGCTCTTAAAGACGAAGGATGGATCATTTTAAGTAGAAACATGAGTGGGTGAGATCTTTTTCTTAAAGAGGAAGGGTGGATCATTTTAAGTAGAAACATGAGTGGATGAGATCTTTTTTCCCCTGAAAGACAGTGCTATCAGGAAACCATGTATCACAACTATATGCCAGTGTGGACCGGGCCAAAGTCTGCTTTATTTCTGTATTGGCCATCTGTGGACAATACTCTCCCCCATTTGCCTGATGTATGTATTTTCAAAAAACTTTTCTTTTTTTTGCTTCACAGATTTCCATGATTTGCAGCCCTGTTTCATCTCTAAAATCTCTAAAATTCTCCACTCCAATATTCCGGTTAGCTTTCTTTAAAACTACCTCAATATGTTAATGTGTATGTCCACAAGAGGGCACCATTACATCCTTGCAACTATTGCAATTGAAACAACAGCATTTTCAGCCTATATTTTTGTAAGTTTTGATTGAGCCATGGC